GCCGCGTATTTGGGAGTCTATAAGCACACAACTGCAGAATTTGAAAAGTATTCATGCATCTTACTATCTTGAACATGCACATGACTTCGAAGGACCACAGATTCTATTCGATAATATTGAGACATTCGATGTGACAAGCTATTATGGTTTAAGTGCAGTGAGTCCAATCGATGTGTTTTCCTTTAAGCAACTAAAGACATTGACAGTGGAGTGCAGGTCTAGAGAAGCAGAATTTTGGTTGGATTTCGTTTTAAAACATCCAACGATAGAAAGACTTGAACTTCGTTTTTCAGGATTGCCATGGCATTGTTATGAGGACATGTTTGAACAACAACGCCGAAAACTCAACATAATACGCCAAAATATGAAATTCATTTCGTTACAATTAAACGGCTTTTCCTTTTATGTTTCTCCAGAAAAAAATACGTTGAAGCTACTGAAATTTTTAGCAGCCCAAAAGTGGTTCAATAAGGTCACTATAATGTTTAGATTTACAAGGAGGAAAGGAAATTATAAGACATGCGATGAGGTATCCAGAATGGACGGTTTCACAACGAAAATTTCGGAAATTTGTGAAAAAACATCAAAATTAAAATCATTTATGAAAAACTATAAAATGAAAAAACACATTCTGTCAGATGTTCCTTATGTTGATTTTGAAAAATGTAATAAACAATAAAAATAAAATGAACTAAAGAATCGGATTATTTTTTTACCATTTCTCCCGTAAGCAAAATGGTGTACCATTTGTAAGTATTTTATGTTGCAAAAAAAGAATCAATATCAATTTCGAACAGTGTTCAAATTCGATTTGAATCGAAAGCCGCTCTTCTGTGATCGAAAGTCGTATTTTGCGTTTGCCCATCGTTTCGTATACAAAGCAGAACACTTCGTGTAAAATGATCGCCTAAATTGATGAGCCAGATTCTTAAGCAAATATTTATTTTGACGAAAGTCGTTTAGTTTTCGGTTTATCCCAGCTGTTTTCTTTCGCTCGAATCAGCTGTTCAATATTATTGAGTATATATCGCTCAATTTTTTCAGACACAATTTTTTTTTGGTTCGACTGGAACAACAGTTTTGATTTTAACAGCGATTGTGTGTGACATCACAGCGTATCATTTCATTTCGAAGCTGTATCAAATCTGTACTTGAATTCGTTAAGAGAAGTTAGTTTGAATATGTGTGATCAGTGGCTAGCATTTTATAGATGCATTTACTGCAGTAAAAAGTATGAATTTTCTAACATCGCACGATTGCAACTACGCCAGTGCCCTTCGTGTTTGAATTATAACACACCGAAAAATGCAGTAAGTACTATTTACTGAGAAAAAAAAACGTTCTGTTCTTTGAATTGAAATTGTGAGAAAAATCAACTGTATTTTCAACCTTTATTTCATGTATCGATTCGATTTTCGTTCTCAATTTTACAGTCAAATGTGGAAAATGGAAACAAAAAGGCCAAAATGTAGGCGTTGAAATTCCAATTCGGATAAATCGGTTCCGAACATCGTCAGCGAAATGAAATATAATCGCTGTTTTAACTTATGATTCAAATAAAATCGTTATGAAAACACTGTGAATCACAATCATGTTTGTTCTCCTACTTTTGACTTTCAAAATGGACTTTTTTTTCAGAAAACATCGTGAATTTTTAGACAACAGTCTGTAAGTAAAAGATTCCAACTTTTTTCTGATTTGAATTGAATCAAAATGACTGGGGCTCAGGTAACAGACTTTTTGGTCTTTTTCTGGATTTGATTGAAACTTGTTCGAATGACTTTGGCCATTTTCCTATTTTGTTATCGTATTATAAATCAATTGAAACAATAGCAAAAGTCTTGAAGTTTTTTTCTGGAATCACCCAAATGAAATTCTCGTAGCTGTTCTTTTCAAGGTGACGCAATGTTTTTTTTAGATGTTTATGTTTTGATGACAAAATTCTCTCAATTTTTTCTCATTGAATCACTTTTTAAGACTACGACCTTAGGAAATTCCTTGTTCTGTAAATCGAATCGTAAGCTGTGTGAATCACGAAAATGTAAAATTGTATCATTATCATGGAAAAATTGTACTTTCTTAATGCGTTCAAGGTATAAACGGACATAAATCTACAGTGATATTCATATTTGGAGAAAATCGCATGATTCGTACCACTAGACTCATTTAAAATAAATTGCTCTTTTGTGAATGGTGTTTCTCAAACGCAATGTATGAACGCATTAGTGCGCATAAAAATGTGTTTATAACTTCGACAGACAGTGTAGTGAAAACAATTCTTTTGTTTGCTTTAGTTCGATTCGATTTCGTTTCGTGCACAATTTCTTCACTTATCAAATTATAAACTGAAATTCGCGTTTTTCGACAGCCAATCGATTTCTTGATAAACACTATGGTGATGATTGTGCTTTTTTGTATGTCTGACTGAAACTGTTTTTTTCGCATATTGTATCAAAGTTCTCTTCTGCGTTTTATTCTTTCCATTTCGTTGTGTATGAAAGGTACGGACCGTTTGATAAGAATTTAGTTGAATTTGGTCAGTACTGGTGAATAAGAGTTCTTGGTGATTTTTCCGTCCGTTCGAAGAAAGTTAAGAAAACTGAAATCATGCATTACAACCGATGGCTTGGATACTATAAATGCCGATTCTGTAATGCACCAGAATTCAAAACGGTGAACTTCCAGCCACATGTACCGAGACCCTGTATGCGATGCTACCGATATATTTGCCCATATCCGGATGTAAGTGTATTTTTAAGTATTTATTTAACAATCGGACATCGATTTAACAAAATTCCTCTCCCCCTTTTCAAATATAGCAGTTCTTCCGTGATGGTGAACCACTTCCTCAAAGATATTTTTGATGGTCAGATTCTGTCAGCATCCGTCGTTTTTACAACTCGATGACAAATAAGATGCAAAATCCCTGTTCATTCAAAGAGACGCATTGAATAAAAGCTATCCAAAAAAATCTTTTGGAAAAACGCCAGCGAAAATTCAAGTGTTTTCGTTGAAGTTTTTACATTTTTATCACATGAATACAAGCTATAAATACTTTTTAGGTGAAATTCGAGTAAGTATTTGAATTCCATTAGGAATGTGGGTCTAAGAATAGAAGAAGTGATTTTTGCTATCAAAATTGTGAATATTTCTTGCTCGTTTTGTTTTGATTCACAACCGATGAATCATAAACACGTGATAAAAAAGTATATTCTCTTAAATCGATTTCTGCTACGGAGTTGATTACACTTTGGCGGTAATTGCACGAATTGATTTAAAATAAACAGTTATATTATAAACAGAGTCTCCCAAATATGATCTATCAACAGTCAACACTTTGGAACAAATAGAAAACATGTTTTTAACTCGCATCCACCGAAGTGAAAACAATTCGTTGCTATCATCGCTACAAAATTGAATCATTGCTATATTTTCATTCGATTCGATTGGCAGTACGAAATTCCTTTTATTTTTCTTTTGATTTGCTTCGAGTTAATACAGGTTGGTGTATTCAGTTCAATTTTTTTCAAGTGATAATTTATAATAACTTCATTT